GCTAACTGTCCAAAATCCAACTTTAAAACAAAAAAGAACAGAGAATAATTTCAGACAATTTTTATTAAAAGAATCTTTATGGAAGCGAAGCTTTTGTTAGTTTTGTGGCTGGCTCCATTCGGCAGGCCCTGAGACTCTGATGTAGTTCCTCATCGATGCCAAATTCATCACAGCCACATAAAACTGAAGAAGGTACTATTTACTACCACCCCCAGGCCAATCATCTTCTTCCACGCACGCTTTTAATGTGCGGAAGTTTTCCTTTTCCACAGTTCCCACAGTCGTTTTAAACGTAAAATAACAGGCAAAGGTAAATAAATAAACTAAAATCCCATTGCCAGCTGAGGCCATTCCAACTCCTAACGACCTCCAGGACAGATTAGAAGTGTCCCGTCGGGTTGCAATCTTTATAGAAGCAATCTTTACGGAAGCTGGCTGCCACATCTTTCTCCCACAGGGTAAAATAAACGGGAAACAAATGATCCACGAAGCAGCTGTTAAGGAATGGAGACAGAACTCGTGCTGGAGACAGGGGGCTTCTCAATTTACCACTTGCTAGTTGTGTGGGTTTTGAACATACACTCTGTGATCTGGTTTCCTAACCTCCACCACCCACTGCACCCAGCGATCCTACAGGTCGGGTGAGAATTGCCCCGTATTTTCCGAGGCTGAGTGCCACACCTGGTGGGTTCAAGCTGCTGACCTTCTGATAAGCAGCCTAGCGCTTAACCACTGAGCCACTTCATTCTCATAAGGGGAACAGTAAACAGAAATAATGCCACCGTCTGCCCTTCCCAGAACTGGAGGAGGATCAAATGGTATCAGCTTTATAGCAGATACTGGGGACAGCAGTAAAGAGCAAAGATACAACACTGGACCATAAGGTCAGCTTAAACCGCAAGGTTGGCAGTTCCAACCCACCAACCACTCCTTGAAAACCCCATTCAGGGTTCGCTATGAATGGGTACTGATAGGATGGCACTTAACAATAAAGGCCACTCAGCAGGCCAGTGTTTTACTGGATCTTATAAACCCAGTTCTGCTACTGCGGAACTCGCTTGGGGCACAGTTCGCTTAACCTCTATAGTAACATAACTGGCCTTGCCTTCCATGGCAACTGTTTGTAAATGTTCTTGAAGAATTGTTTTCATTTGGTGCAGTCGGGCGTGTTCTGACTCATCACCACATTATGTACAATAGAACAAAACACCACCTGGTCCTGTACCACCCTCACAATAGTGGCTACACTTGAGCCCACTGATGCTGCCACTGTGCCAATCCATCTTGCTGGGAGTCTTCCCATTTTTTGCTGACCCTCCTCTTTACCAAGCATGCTGTCCTTCTCCAGGGACTGGTTCCTCCTGATAACACATCCAAAGTATCTGAGAGACGAAGTTTCGCCATCCTGGCTTCTAAGGAGCTTTCTGGCTGTACTTCTTCCAAGACAGAAGAGTAGTAAAGAAAGTTCCCTCCTAGAGATCGTTTCTTAATCCATGTCCCCTCCCAGCCCAGTTCTGCCTCTCAAATAAGTCATAGCAGCTGTGTGTATGGGGGGTTTTGCTTAGTGTGTGTCAGGCATGGATTTTAACCCGGGTTCTACATATATCATCTCACGCCTCACAGATACAAGCTATGAATCAGGTTATGGTTATAGTCCGAGTACATCTAAGAAGGAGCTCTGGTAGCGTAGTGGTTACAAGTCGGGCTGCCAACCTCAAGGTCAGCAGTTCAAAACTACCAGCAATTCCACAGAAGAAAGATGAGGTGTTATGCTCCCGTAAAGATTTACAGCCTCAGAAACCCTATGCAGGGTCACTATGAATCGGAACCGACTCCACAGTACTTAATAAAAACAACATCTAAGAGAAGACTGTCCGAGAACTTGACACACATCACCCAGTGGCTAATAGGCAATAGTTAGCATATGAACCAAATCCTTTGGACATAAAATGGGTATCGTGTTCCTAGGTGGCAAAAAATGGTTTATGCTCAACTGGAAATCTAAAAGGTGGTACAGCCTGGTAGGCTACTTCTGTTAAGATTCCAGCCAAGAAAACTCTATGTTTTATTAACTGTGTGTATTTTTTACCAAATTAAAAATAAATTAAACTTAAAAATTCAAATAGAAAGAGCCTAATCTTTTTGTTGTTGTTGTTTTTTCATCACTTATGAAGGCCTCTATGTAAAATTAAGTGCTCATGAAATGTACTTGCCTCAAATGGAAAAAGCCGTAATTGTCTTACATCTGTTCTTTATGTTACAAAACACTCAGTGGACAAGACTATTATGAAATGTGAAAACCGGACAAAAGAACCATAAGTTATTGAAAAGGGGAAGAGAACGAACACTTGCAGACATATGCTGTTAAATGTATTGTTTAAACAACCTAGTGAATATGTGGATGTGTGTGGATGTGTGTGGATGTGTGTGGATGTGTGTG